TTTTTTTTAATTTCAGAGGTTAGATTTCAGCTATATGAGTTCCCTGGTCTGGCTTGCTATGTAGTCACACAGGACCTCACCCTGGGGGAGGTTGCAGGAAAGGGAGAGAAGATGGTCTTGTCCTTTTCAGTAGCAGCCTGCACTTCAGTTAGCTCAGAGAGCATGGAAACTCAGCTTCACATATCTGGCATCCCAGACCAGAAAGCACACAGCACCCTGCTGAGGTCCAGATATTGCTGCAGTTGCTGCTTTGGGACACCAAGGGCCATCATCTGCGGCCTAATCTACAAAGATGTTTGTTTCTTGCCTTTATTCTTTCCACTAGGCCCTGAAAAATACAGGGGCAGCATGTGATTTGGGCAGAATGTCACCTATAAAGGCAGGTGACACATAGAACTGCCCTTGTCACCACCCACCAGGACGCTTGCAGGTTGTACCTAGATCGGCTCACTGGCAAAGAACAACTGGTTGACACTGTAGTGAGACACAGACACTGGTGAGCAGAAGAAAGTGCTAGGAAGAGTCCAGGAAACCACAACATCAGATCGTACACGCTCAGAAAACAATAACCATTACCTTTACACACTCACAAAATGGCATCAGACATCCACCGCTCACTACCTACTCTAGATTCTCCCAGCACCCCAACCCCTACCCAGCGGCCTTAAATCTACCAGTTCTCATCCCTCTATCTGTCTTAAGCACCAAACGCTAGGGCACATGTGCTACAGGCACCTTCCACACTCACCCTTTCATGTGCCTCCACAACTTCCTGGACATTGGTACGCCTAGTCTGGCCAGTTACTAGGCATGACATGTCTGCTGTCCTGCTCCACAGGAACGTGTTGATAATACTCTGATGCTCACAGTCATATTCAAGTGAATCTAAACATTTAAATCGATTCTTGTTACACATTTTCATAAAACATTACTGCAGTCGTCCAGGATTTGCCCAAAGCAACCAGAGGGTCTCTCTGCCATCTGTTCCTTACAGGAAAGGGACAAGTTTGTGCCTGCCAAAAAAAGATACCTCCCAGCTGCCAATATCTGGCAAAACTGGCCCCCATGCAGGCCCTGGCAACAGAACAGGAAACGCTTTCTAAGCCCCTGAACCCTCTTGGGATGCAGTTCCCATGAGCCTTTCCTTATTTGGATTTGTTACCTCTGCAGAGATAAAAACATCCTACATGTATACGTTTTTTCCAGATTCATACCCAATATGAGACAAGTTAAAGGGTGAAAAAGCACAAGTCTAACTCCTGACTGCTAATGTGGAACAAAGCTACAGAACAAAACAAACCAACAAAAATCCAACCAACAAAAAAACAACAAAAGATAGTCACAAAACTCAGACTGAGAAAGACAAGAGAGGCTTGCTGGCAAGAGTGAGAGGCAGGAGGGCTGAACTGGAGACCCATCTGTGCAATGGATGCTCTTTGCAGCACAGAGCAATCACAGACTCTCCACGCGTGACTTTCTCCAAGCAACAAAAAACTTCAGATATAAAGCCTGCCATGTCTCAGCAGCCCAGCAGAATTAGGAGTAACTTCACAGCTCTCAAAGACCAAAAAAAGGACCACTCTTGTTTTCCTTCATCAGGATTAAAAGCCAAAAATGGTTTTCTAGATTTGCTTAGGACTAGAAAGGATTGCTATTATCTTTTTGAATGACCTCTTGTACACACAGCCAGATTAATTTTCCCTGGGGAAGTAATTCTTAAAATAACTCATTACTAGCAATACCAAAACCAAATTTTTTTGGAATAACTGAAAAATTTGCTGATGGGAACAATGGAAAACAGAGGGTTGTTAGGGCAGCAATACAGGTGATCAAAGGAACGAGCGTACCGTCGTAATATACCGGGAATGGAACTCCGGAGCATCCTTCAGGAAGGTCAGGCCAGGATGCGTTTCCACCACATCCTGCAAGATAAGACCAAATACAATGAAATAGATTTTCTTCTCCTTTTATTTAATGTTTAGAAGTTATTGGGTTCACAAACCAACACTTTCTCTTACTTTTGAAACTGTATTTGCAGCATTAATGATAAAACCAAAATGATATCTTTTTATTTATAAAGTGAACCTTGTAGAAGCACAAGTAGAATACATTTTCTGGGCAATACGCACCTGCTGGGCCATTTTGATTTACTTAGGGACAGAAAAACAAAGGAAGAGAGTTAGTGAGTTGATGAAAACGCATTTTTACTGAATGAGACAAAAAATTAGTTGACCATGCAACTATCTCTTCTCCAAAACCCTTTTTTGCATTCACTGAAGACATTGATATTAATATTAGTTAGATCTAAGTGTCAAAATAAAGACTTTTTGAAACGTTGAGGAAGTCGGGTTTTTTTTTTTTTTTTTTTTTTATGTCCTCCACAACATTGAAAGCTCTTGTGAACCTTAGAATGCATACAGAGGGATTTTTCTCTTTCAAGATCAGTTTTTTGCAAGCCAAACACTGGCTCACAAAGTCAAATCTGCCAAGAAATGCATGACTAAAGATGTGGAGAAACTGCCCAGATCCTGAATGAATCATCTCAGATCCTGAATGAATCAGAATCTCTCTGTAACTGCTCCCTGACACCTCTGCTTTAAAAGAGGTGGTGTTCAAAACTTTGCCCTGTCTACAACGTGACATGGCAAAGAGACAGAGCAGATACAGTGTCCTTACAGCTGTAATATGACCAGATTTTGGCCATTCTAATATGATGGCTAACATGATGGTGTAATATCATGGTGCACTATGGCCAGTCTCTGATTAATTGAGAAACAAGATTGTACATGCCTTTGACTGCACCAGTAGCAAAAAAACAGAGCTGTTAACAACCACGAAAGGCAGCGTGCCCAGTGGAGAAAAGATGAAAAGGAGCATGAGAAATTTTACCCATCACAGTTCCAGGTTTGTTTAGGAGAGAGAAGTGTCCAGCACAGAGACAAAAATCTTTCTCCAGTAAAGCATCTCCACAGAGGTTTTGCACAGTGGGCAACGCAAAGTGAGCAATCCAGGGATATGTGGAAAAGCTCAGAAAAAAGCATCAACAGATGGTCAGAAGGACCTGATTTATGGAGAGACTATTATTAAAAAAAAAAAAAAAAAAAGGCTAAATTCATCCAGAGCCTGGCTAAATGGCCACAGTTAGAGAACAATACTTTGTTTCTACACTTGCTTTGTAAAGATACCACCACATGTGAATAAAACAAAATAAATGAAATCAAGATGTATAAGTTTTAGTCTGAATATTAGGAAAAAAACAGTGAGATTTACACAGCAACAGGTCTAGTGGCATATAAAGCAACAGGAACTGCAAAATTCTTTGCAAAGGTTTCTATGGGATGTTGCACCTGATAGTCTTGTTAGGCAAACTCAATAATAATCATACTTCCAAACAACTTTTAATAACTTTTCTAATAAGCTTTTATGTTGTGCTTGAATATCAACAGTGCCATGTATTTTTCCCCAAGAACAATCTAGAGAAATGGGGTGAATTTCAGCCTGGTTATCCAGCCCTGGCAAGTGCAAATCTTAAGACGACACAAGAGACTAAATAAAGTTTGACATTCCTCAGTGACTCTAACAGGATGTGCATCTGGTTGGCACTTATGCCAAGTAGCTCACTTAAAATGCTTATTTCTATTTCATTCCAAAATAAGCTCTACCCATGTGCTGTCCAACCAAAGGTCTGCACGGCCTTAGCGAACATTTAAAAACATGAGAATAAGAAAGTTCCAGAAGGAACATTGCTCCCTCCCCTCACCCATTCGCTGCTGAGCGGCTGCAGGTACCTGGAGCAGCGGGATGAAGTCCTCCTGCTCCAGGCAGTCACAGCCAGGCTTTGCTAAAAGGTATGTGAATCTGGATGCATCGTCATGACAGTTATGTAGGACTCTGCAAGAGAGATGAGAAGTTAGTTCAACTGCTTTGCATCCCACAGAACAATCACAAACCACAACTGGATTATAAAGTGCCTTATCATGTTATGCAAAACCTTTACAACATGAATTATGCACAGTTGACTTTATAACACTAGCACCCATTTTCTTCTTCAGCATCTTTCAGTAGCATCCAGGTGTTTCTGCCCAGTGGAGTTTTGTTTTAAGATTGCTGCAGTAAACAAGGTGTTTCTCACTGAAGACTGCACTCATTTTGATTCTTTAGAGAGAAAATTAATCAGTCTAATGAGATGCCACAACAGACAGGCTCTCTGGTTTAATTTTTGGTAATATCCTCAAATACGGAAGTGTAGCAGAACTGCAGTGAATAAAATTTTTTGAAAAAAAAAACCCCCCCCCCCCCCAAAAAAAAGGACATCTCTTGTTAAGCATAGCACAGCTGGCTGCTGTGCACAGGAAGTTGTGAAGAACCGTCTAATCACAGAATTAGCAGGGCTGAGTATTCAGAGGCATGTAAATCCATTCCTTAGGATGACAGTTGCAACTGTGACCCTGATTCTTGTCTCTGCCCTCCTCTAATACAAAACAGTATCTTGGTCAGACGTATCACAATTACTTAATTCACTAGGAATAGAAATACTCATGAAAATGAGAAATTCCTTGACATTCACCAAATCACTACCGAACAGCTGCAATAGAAGAGAACGTTTGGATATATCAAACACCAAGTTGTTCATACAGCGTAAGGGAAGCATATCTGTGAAAATGCAAATGCACCGTTTGTTATGTACTTCTAGTGGCTACTTCCCTCAAAGTGTATGAGCTCATCATACTGAAACATACTACTGAAATGCCCCTAGCTGCCATTAATTCTGGCCTCTATCCTTACCAATAGCAGACTGTTTTTTAATAAATCTTTCAGGAAAAAGGAAAAAAAAAAAAAGACCCTAAAAATAAAACCTTTTTGATAAAAGTGATTGACAAGCAATCCTATTAGCTGCACATTCACATCATGACACTACACACACCAACTAACAGATAAATTCTTAATCAGCCACAGAAAAGAGGTGCTAACTTTTTTTTTGTTGTTTTAAATCAGGCACATAAGATGAATCCCAAGTCCACATTTTAGCACCAAAATGAAGGACCTGATTTTCAGAAGTATTCCATATCCAGCAACTCTCACAAACTTCAAATGAGATCAGCAAGCACACAGCATTTTGGAAAGTCAGGTTGCTTACCAAGATGCTTAAAAATAGACTTCAGTGATTAAAGACGCCTGTTTTAAAATTATGGCTGTGTTCAAAAAGTTGCAGTCTAACATTATGAAGAACTCTGCTTTTATTTCTGACTATCATATTTCCAGAAAGCATTCTGGAACTGGCAGACAAGAGGAGGAAGGAAGAAAACTTTCTAAAAGAGCAATTAAAGTGAGGAAAGCTTACAAAAATGGCTTGGAAATGCTGTGGTTAAAACAAGACAGAAGAGGGGAATGACCGCAGTCTGCAAATATCTGAATGATGTGCAAGTCAGAGAGAGTGACACTATGTGGTATCATACATGAAGGACTAATTAGGACTAATTGGAAGAACCTAAAGGAGGAAAAAAAGTTGTCTGTCAAGAAGAATTTACTAATCACAGTCACCCCTAACCTTTTTGCAATTTTGCCAGGGTAACTAGAAGCTTTTTGGACAGTATTATCACAGGAAACACTTTGGAAACTCAGTGTTAGAGGCTATTCAAGAATCTGAAGAGTGACCTTTAAGTCAAAAAGTAGAACGCTCCCTAGATATGGGATGGAGACATTGTTCAGGTGTTCTACAGAGTAAAGTAAGACTGAATCACCCTGGAGGGAACAAAGATTAAGCAGGAGAATGGGTCTGTTCCATCTCATACCTCTGACTGAACCTCATATATACAGAGCTCTTGATTTCAAAAAGAAGCTTCAATAGCAGCGTGCTGAAACGACTGAAATCCCACAAATTTATTATGCATCGTGCTAGAGAAAGGTAATAAAAACTATTAAAGCTCTCAGAGTTTGGCCCCCTTGTAATATTATCTACCTTCTGCTTCTTTATTTTATACTCCTTTCTGCCCTAATATATTATCAGATGCTCCCAATTCCCAGGCCCAAATAGTACTTATTCAGTGCAGCAGTGTAGCAATCAGGCCTCAGACAAACGTCGCCCAACACTACTGGGGTCTGTCAGCTATTTCAGAATAGCTGACATTTTTCTAGAGAGTGGGTTAGTGTATTCCATACACCAGCCAGACCAACACGTTTAATCACCTACATAATTGATGCAAAGTCTGCTGACGCAGCATGGAAACAGGTGTTTAGGGAATTATACAGAATAAACATTTAGCTCATGGAGATTTTAAGCCTTTTATTTTCTTTTAAAGGAGGACAATGATTTGAAAAGTCTAGTGGAAGAAAAACAAAAGAAGAGAGACACTTGTAGGGCAGGCTGTTTTTCTTCTAGAAGGAAAGTTTTGCATTCTGCTATACTCACTTTCTCCACATGGTTACAAATGAGTGTACAGATACACATCCTGTCCTTTCTCCTCCGGATGCAGTGAACATAGGTGCTTTCCAATAGAGTGGGCAGCCACATATCTGTAGTGAAACACAGGAACAAAGAGGAATACAAAAGCAGTTACAAGAGCCTGCTTGTTTATAGACTGAATTCACTGTCAAAACTTTCGCATAGGGAAAGCAAAACAATAGTAATGAGCAGTTTATGCCCAAGAACTGCCTTCGGTTGGAAATTGCCCCCTCAAGCAACACTGCAAGAGAATCCATAGGTCACCTCCAGATTAGCGGGAGAAGTGACCGCAAAGAAGGTAACCGGCACAATCTGAAGCCACAGAGGCACCCTAGGTTTCTGCTGTCTTATAAGCATAGCTATATTTCTGTCCCTCCCTAGTTATGTAATTGGTATTTGGTAAGAAATCTGAAAGAACCATTTTGCAAATCAGAGCAAGATGCAGCACACATCAGATGTGACCAAGAGCAATCTCCTCCCAGGGAGCCTTCAACTGGGCTCCTTTTTGTTTACTATTTTCTTAATCTAAAAAATAAAAATATTCAGCATAAAAGCATATTGGTTCTTTTTTCCCCACTAAAAATTAGAACAGCTGTAAATTATTTTATTAGTTTTAGTTTCAGTCTTTGTCCCTCTCTCCAGAGGATGAGAAACCCAGACAGCAGTTACCTTAGCAATTTTCCCCATTTCACAGACGTTAGCTTTCTCATCTTCAAACTCTGTAAAGGCTTCTTCAATCCTGGCAATGACCTCCTCATGATTAGTGCAGACATTCGGAAGTCCTTTGGGGAAGTAGAAACGTGGAATGTTTATGGGCAAAGGGGTGCTGCTGGTGGCTTTATTCACAGGCAGAAGAGCACACGGGCTAACCACTGAGTTCAAAGGGACTGAGGATGAAGTTCCAGGCTTCTTCTCTGGTTTATTTTGAACCTGAAAATAAAAGGAGTTACATAAATACTTTTCAACAGCATGGCACATAGAGCAGAGAGGAAAATAACTTGCGCTCTAAATGATTAGGAAAAAATTAAAACTCATCAACAATCAAGTTATAGCACAGAGATATAAAAATGTATGTCTTAAGTGACAAATTTAAAAATTACTGCAATGTCAAACACTGCAAATTCAGGACACGCCACACGTAAAGCTACTTGTATGGAGTTTCTGTGCTGTTTATGTACGTAGCCACATAAAGTTACACTGTTTAATTGCAGGAGCGCACATACTACAATTTTAACAGTACCCTAGAATGAGGACGATGTTTGGTATTTCTTCTTACGTTGGTCATGTCTTTTCATCCTGGCCCATAAAGAGCACAGCATCAAAATCTGTTTGTTAATTATTTCCCCTTAGAGCACTTGTTCACCTAAGTGTCTTGCCTCATATATGAGCAAATTGACTTTCACAGCACCAACATTTTCAACCTCCTGGGAATATCATTCCTTTTGCCAGATGCAGTATCACCTCATAGAGAAATTAAGACCACGATTTGCGTGACTCTCTTCTAAATTTCAGGAAACCTGTGATTCTGCACCCAACTTGCAAGATCCAAGACCTGATTGCGTTAGAGATAAAGTGCTGGCATTTATACTATAGCAATGCTGCCTTTTATACTAGCAATTACGAGCAGGCCGCGGTGCTAAAAATTGTTGGGCACCCAACATGACACAGCGCACACAGTTGGTACAACATACAACAGGTCCGTTTATAACTCCAGTTGGGAAAGAATCCTTTTGCAGGCTCAGACCCACAGGTTTCCCCGAATCAGCACCTACGTCATTTGCTGAAGAGCAGGCAGAAAACCGGGAACTGAAACTAGACCTTCTGCATGCCTGTTCAAAGACCATCTTTTCTCCCACGCCCACCCCCTCTTCTTTCATTAGCTCATCCCCCCATCACTCCTCTCCTGTCTATAGCGAATGTAATGTTGATATGGCAACCCCAACTACATCATCTTTTTATCTGACCTCTGGAATCTAATTTTGTCCATGAATGTTTTTCATAAAGGATAGTGGAAAGTATAGCTCGGAGGCTATTTGTATTTCTCACATACGTAATGAGATCCTAAAATAGATAATGTTTCAGACATGGAAAACAATATTTTTTAAACTCTTTAAAAGTAGTTAAAGTAAAAGCAGCAGAAGACAGATGTTGGAAAGTCCAGGAACAAAGAATTCCCTACTCCCCCGTGCGCACACACTTTTCTTGGGAAAAGGCAATAGGCTTGCCTATTGCACAATGATTCAAGTGCAAGAGTTATTAATAACATAATAACGTATCTGATAAGAGGCCAGTAAGGAAGCAGTCAAGTAACTACAACTTCGTTACATTTACTCCTAATAGTTCAAATCAAAATCATTTTAGGATGAAGCAGCCAAGTCTAAGTTCACTAAATACAGATGAACATTATGACAACCCGATCAAACTCTTTGCCTTATTATTTTCCAGAAGCTCGGAGCTTTTCTCGTAACACTTGCTGAATACACCAACTTGCTATTGGTTTGCTTTCAAAAGGTAAAGTAGTGAGAACTGCGAAAGCTTCCTTAAGCCCTGTTTTCTCTGCAGCTTAAAATACCTTATAGTCTGTTTTTCAGGGACCTGTAAAACAAGAGATGGGGGGATTTTCTACTTGCTGCACTCCTCTTTCTTTTAGCAGAGAGAACCTCTTCCTTCTCCTGCTTGCTGTCTCCTTTCAGGAGCAAGAGCCTGGGGGCTCGCACACACGGCAGCTCGAGCTCACTTCCATACTGCAACTGCTCTGTATGCAACGCATTAACCTGGAGCCTGGGTTTCTTTAAATCTTCCTCCTCTCTCACATCTGGCAACACGGGAACTGCTGAAGATCGTTTTCAGCCTTCAGGATTCCTGATTCTATCAATCCTGGTACTCAGAGTCAGTATGGTCCTCAATAGTGCCCTCAGCCTTCGAGGAGCAAGCCTGATTACTGCCATCTGCTCTTCTGCCCATCTCCCTCGACATTTTTCTGCTCTCCCACACGGTGCATTTCTTTGTGTCTAATCCAGAGTGACGCTGGAGCTCAGAGGGGGCCAGGAGGGAGGGCCAAAGGGTCTGAAGCTCAAAGTAAACGGAGATATTACGGGGGCTGAAGACAGCTGTGGGACACAGTAACGGAGCTGCTGCTAACACTGGGGCTGGTACTGACTGGAGCTGAAGGTGAGAGGATTAGGTCCCACGCTCACTGCAAAGCGCATCAGGAAAATCTGGGATGATCCAGAGGTTAACATCGGTGGACACTGAAGACAACAGTGCGGCTGTGGTACTGGGGCAGGCAGGTCTGACTCTGAAGAGGGGACTTTGTTTGACACTGCAGGAAGGGGACCTGGGAGGGTCGCACGGGTAGCGGAGAAGTTGGTCACCGAATCGGGCCTTGGCTTGCAAGTCAAGTTAGTGATTTGGCTCTGAAGAGGACTTGGGCAAATCATTTCTTCCTCTGCAATCCTCCCACCCCCGTCTGCCCTGTCTAGCTAGTGAGTTTTCCAGCCATGACCAAACTCTAATAGTTTTATTCCCAGGACTCCAGCAGAGGGGAAAATCCCCGCTGGAGTCTTAAAGCATTACGCTCGTACAAACAATACCAAGCTGAAACAGGCGCTGAGGTGCCAAATTCAGTCACTTAAGTCCTATAATAATGAACGGGTTTATTGCTCATGCACACATGCACCCCTAGCTGCCAGGATTGCGAGGAAGAGCTAGAGGAAAAAAAAAAAAAACGACTCATATTCAGTATAAAGGTCCACAAATCCAAAGACACCAAAGAAATATACTGTTTTGTTTAAAGGATGTTGACTCTTTTTAACATTTGAATTGACAAAGATGCCCCCACTCCCTTATAATACCACAAGAGAACGATAAAATCGTTCAGACAGAGGACAAAGAGACATCCCCAAAGGATACCACAGCACTGTGCCTCTTTTGTCCCCTTCTGCACATCACACATCCCGACACAGCACAGGACCCGAGTTGAACATCCTGCAACACAGCTCAGCTACTTTCCCCCAGAGCCAGGCCTGGCCAGGCCTCCACCTTCTGAAAATGGGGCAACTCATTTTCCCCCAGGTACTGCCAGAGTCAGCAAGGCTTGACCCCAGCTCACATGAGCCAGAAGTCAAGCCCCTAGAACCTCCAGTAATTTCCTGATGCTCAACCCCAAGGCAAAACAGAAGTTAGACATCTACAGTGTAAATACAGGGAATGCTGCTAAGCCTCAAAGAAGCAGGGAACCAGTTCAGACGCAGGTTTGCTGCTGCGTCCCTCCTAGGCAGGCTAAGCCACCAACTCCTGCTCAGTCCATGGCAAACAAGGCAGAGGCACAGCTCTTGGGTGGCTTTTTTCCCACAAGGTCCTACTGCAGGACTAGAAAGAGCATTTTCTGAACTTTGTTTTACTCCTCCTCATTTAAGAGGTGAGCTGCTTACAATGACATGAAGAAAAAAACAAGTGGAAGCTAGCTTATGAGAATACTGTTCCTAGAACAATCTATCCAGTTAATTTTAAGTTCACATCATTTTGAGAAGATCCTTCCACGACAGGTATAACGAGATGGCAGCCACTGTGAAGGCAGCAGGGAGTTTGTTACAAATGTGAAACTACTTGTGAAAAATAAAGAAGTGATATGAGGGAAAATTCCTTAGCAATTCCTTGGCAGGAAAAAAAGCACTGTTTCTTATTGAAAGAGGTTATCTTTAAACACTATATGCTTAGTAGAACACACTTTTTTCCAACAGGGATGTGCACTGTCAGAGAGGACATTTAAGGAAGTAAACTACAAATGCTATAATAACTCTTTTAGCTTTGCTACCAATAGCTAACAGGCCAACCTTCTTGTTTTTTCCTGAAAAGGAAAGCGAGATTAAAAAAAAAGTTTAATACTGCTCTACGACGTGGTTTAAATTACCGTACCTAAAATCTGTCAAGTGCATCCCCTTTTGCCAGTCATACAGCTTATTTATGGACAGACTAAAATAGTGACATCCACATTATAAATAAACTAGATAGAACTACAGCCTCCTCATAGTTACACAAATAAAGAATGGAGACTAAAAAATTGCCATCCAAGGTTGTCTCTCAGGGACCCTGCTAGCTGCCTTGAGAGCGCCAGCTCCTGCAGGAAACTCCTGAGAAGGAAGCAGCATCACATCAGAAGCTCCAATACCTTCTTTTCTTTTCCCCCAGCCCCAATCTCCACGGGATCCTAGAGGCTAAATTTACCAGTTTCTTGTTTTCTTCCAAACAAGATTCTCTCATCTTCCCTTTGTAGGGTACAGTAACTCAACCCAGTTTCTAGCAGCCCACAGTGCTGACTTAACGGCTCCTTCCACTTTGTCCCTGTCTGCTGAGGTCTGATAAGTGGACTGAGGCCACCCTCAAGGATCACCAGTTCTCCAGAGCTGGCTTGCATCAACAGCCTAAAACACTCTTCCTTTCCTTCCGTGAAGCTCTTCGTCCATCATTATACCTCTCTGCTGCCTACCATCCAACTCTAAGCAGAGTGAGAAGCGCAGAGGTTCACATGCGCATGGCCCCCTGACAACGTGAAGAAGAGAGGTTATGAGAAAATGTATTTCTGGATAGCATCGCTTCTATTATAAGTTATAAACTCACCAGCAGAAGTAAACTCCCAACACAGCAAAGCACAAATGAAAGAGACCCTATCTGAGCAAGAGAGTCACAAAAGGATTTAGGTGGGAAGGGACACAGGGCTAACTTTAAGGCTAGATTTCTACTTCCTCAGGGTCTTGTCCAGCTGACTGGTGAAAATACAGAACCCACGTGCCTCCATAGCTGCTGATAAATGGACCCACAGATCTTACACATTCACTTCCCAGGACCTATACACTTCAGCCCACACCTCAAACGTCTCCCTGAAAACCACACAGATGAAACAAAACCACCAGCACACATCCAAATTAATT